GTATAAAAGCTAGAAGAAAACAGTCAACTTCAGGAGAGAGGTGAACATGAGGAAAATGTAAGCTCGCGAAAAAAAAGAAGATAAATACGATGTCTATTGAAACATCAATGAATGTATATGGCTGAGGTATCTTAAAAAATTTTGTGGCCATCGATGGCGACTAAACTGATCGGTTTACACCTCTACACTTTCATCATTCAACAATCTTAGAATACTTCATAAAACTTAAAATCGGAAGTCTCCGTTATTTTTTCTTCGTATAAATGAAATATGCATAAATTACATTTTATTATTTTTATTTTAGGTTTACAAACAATTAATATAACATTACGTATTCTTCATCGACCAAGAGCTGAACTTTTACCGAAAATTTTTTGCAAATTTGGGTTTAGATTATGAAGAACATGTTTTATCACTGATTATTAATGAAGTTTTAAAATCTGTTGTACTAAGTCTCAATTTGATGCTATTGAATTGATTACACAACATACACTTATTTTTCAATGTGTTAGTGAATTATTAACAGAACATGCTGCTCAATTTGGTTTATTACTTGATGATATTTCAATTGTAAGATACAACAAAAAAGAGTCTCGAGTTGATTATATTGTTTTTTTCTTTAAATTAGACACATTTAAGTTTTAGACCTGAATTTACAAGTGCTGTTGAATTAAAACAACGATTTTTAGTCGAAAAAGTAAAGCAATAAGAATAAGATTTGTATGAATTTGTTTTTTTTGATAAAAAAAAACAGACGGAACAAAGTCGTCAAGCAAATGTTATTGCAGCAGAAGGTGATGCTCGTGCAGCTGATTTGATTGGCAAAGCTTTAGATGAAGCTGGTGATGGTAAATTTTCGAATATCTTTTATTATTCTGTCTTACTTTGTTTTAATATTCATGTTAGGTTTGATCGAACTTCGACGAATTGAAGCCGCTGAAGGTATTGCAAATCAACTATCAAAATCAAGAAACAGCGCCTATATACCACATGGTCCTCAAATGTCACTTAACATTACTGGTACTATGCAATAAAAATATTGTTTTTTGTTTTCATAGTAAACTAACGAGATTGATTTACGAAAATAAAAAGAACATATAAGAGTTTTTTTTGTATGTATGTGTTTATACACTATTGAGAATACTAAAGCATTGTATTGTCCTGGTTTTTGTTCGATTAAAGAAAAAGAGGATCAAATCAACAATTCTCTAGATGATATTAAAGATTCGAGTACGATTGGAACGATGAATTTCGATAATCTCTTTCGACGTTTTATATTAACTCAATCATTTGTACGTGGTTGGGAAAATTCATTCCATTTACAAGGAATTTTTACCTATCGACGTGAAAAAATTGGTGTAAGAGATGAGTGTTTAGAACTTGTACCAGCTGAAAATGTACAGGAAAATACTGTTGAAATAATTAAACAAAAAACAAAAAGGTAATCAAAATTATATAAATACTCGATTTCGTTCACCACTTGTCAATTATTTACCACATTTGGTAAGTAATTAAAATTATTTTGATCATTTAATTAATATTATCTTTTTTCTTCTGTTATATTTATTTAAATAGGTTCCATCTCAAGTAGCTACAGCTCATTTTCAACTTGTTCTATCACGTAATCATCGTTTTGGTATTGATTCAATTCCAATAGGAATTTGTTATGCTGGAACAGGTGATCATGGTTTTAGTCGACGAAGATTATTTATTGCAGTTCTATTAATTAATCAATACCCTATATGTTCAATTCTTCTTGAAAATCCATATTATGGTTTAAGAAAACCACCAGATCAATCTCATTCATCATTATTATATGTTACCAATTTATATATCATGGAAGTACTTGTTTTAGAAACACTTATACTACTTCATTGGTGTCAAAAAATGAAATTAACATCAGCTATTCTACATGGTTTTTCTCTTGGTGAACATATAGCTTCATTAGCATTTACAAAGTAAGATTCAATTCTATTATTTGATCTATTTAATGAATGGATATACAGTATCTATCATAATTTCAAATAATGATTCAAGTAGAGCAAACCATGTTACAAAAAGAATATAAATTAAAAACATTGATTATTTGATTCCCTAAATTAGGATTTTTTTAGACAACCCAAAAGCCTAATTTCTCAGTATCTAGTACTTGAACTCTCTAGGACGGTTTTTTATGGAGTAAAAGTCGAATAATTTTGGTAGCCATTGTGTATATATTTATATTTTAGATGGCTTGATCCTCCTTCTCGATAATTCTATAAAAATAAAGCCTCTCAAACATTTTATGATTATTTACGTGAACGAAATTGATCAATAGATTCAAATAAAATTGTTCTCGATCTTATTAAAGATATGATGCGTCTTCTTATGGATGAATTTACATCTTTACATAATTATTCACGCCTAATTCAATCAAATATACCTAATGTTATGTTTATTGCTTGTACACATGATCGTATTTCACATATGAATGATGTATGACCTGGTATTCATATCCGATATATTCCTCATGGACATGTTAGCGCATTTTTATTTAATCAATCAGGTTTTCATCATGCTGCTGCTGAAATGTTACAACGACAAGAACCAAATGTAAAACTAAAAAAACATCTAATCGTGTCACTAATTTCTGCCACTACACCTAAAAATTCGTGAAGATATATATTTTTTTCATATAGATATTTTCTCGAACAGTATCAAATATTTCCTAGTTTTTGTGTTATGATTTGAATAATAACTTAGAGAAAAGAAAACTTTTGATCGAATATAAACTAGATAATATATTAATCGTGTTGTTTTTTAAATATAATTTGTATGACTCTGGTAAAAACATGAGCAAACATCTTTTTGTCCTATTTATCAACAAATAGATATTGAGAGAACTTCTCCAACTGATATCCTCTGTTCGAGCTCATAAGTAGGACTCATAGTCATGATGAAAACATTAAACATGTTCGTGCTCTTAAGCCTTTCATGATTGTTCTATTAAATTTTCAGCATATTGCAGGATATTAGCAAAAAAACTGTAATAACGAGTCTCCATTTGAAACTCTCTCCCAATAACAGATCTCATAACAATTATTACATTCTAAAAGTTTTAGCACAAACGAATGGATCCAAGTCAATCAATAACAGATTCTTGCACCTTCATACAAGATCGTACAATTTGATTTCACTATATTGTTTGAATCCTTTACAATAACCCATACAGGTTAGAGTTTTCTTCTTTATAAATTACCATACCATCCATATGCATACATAGCCAACATTTAAATTTCTGGTAGCATAACTGGATACAGATTTATCTATATACCTTTACTCAGATTTGGAACTGGTCTTTATCAGTTCTCTTTCTTTTCGCAGATGTGAACGAGAAGGAAAAGAACAGCGTGTGCATTTATATGATCGTATCCTTAATATCAAATAAAACTTAGTGATTACTTGAAAAAGAAAATGCATAATGCAAAATAGTTTGTGTTAACAACAGAAGAATTACTTGAATTTTGTATTATAAAAATAACTTTATAAAAAAAAGAACTATTCTTTTGCTTTATTCGTATCTGAGCATTTCAGATATTCACTCCAAAATATTGTGTAGTGAACATGAAGACACAATAAATAAATTTTATTTTGTATTTTCATATAATTTTGAAATTATTTATAGAAGATCAATGAAGAAATGTATTTCTATATAAAACATACTCTATTGGTATTTAATGTTGAGAAGAAACTAAAAATAAACAGAGCGAAAAAGAAAATATTAGTTTTTTTACGATTGCATTTTAATGTTGATTATTTCAAATAATGAAGATAGATATTTTTTATTTCTACTTTATAGTTTACATTCTTGTTAAGATATAAATAGCCAATATTGACATAATTTGTAGCTAGAAGACGATAAAACTTGTCTATCATTGTATCTCTGTTTATTTGCTTGATATCACAAACAGATTGGCAAAAAAAACAGGTTTTATCAAGTCTAAAATGCTGATATTATATACTGGGTGTGGGTCTGGGTGTACGTGTGAATATACTCTTCATCCACACCCCACACACGTACTCACACCCTTTTGAAACAAGTGTACCAGAAAATACTCAATTTTGAGTATAACAACTTGATTGTACAACAGATCAAACTGTTATTATGGAATTGGGAAATGTAGCATTTTGATTGTACTCAAAATTCTTCTTTCATCTATTGAAGATTTAGCTAAAACAGGTATTATTGATATCGTAGTACTTGATACATTTCGTCAAAGTCGAATACGACATATGATATTTGTTGGTCGACGTAGACTAATTCAAATATTGTCATTTACTATAAAAGAATTTCGTGAACTTACTAAATTAACTGGTTTACAATCAATGTTAAACAAAGAAGATTTTAATTGAATTGATGAAAATATACTTGATAAATTGAAAGTGTTCATTTCGAACATATAGAGCCCGTAGTTAGTTGTGATTTTTTCGACCATCTTGTCATTAAAACTATAGATTATTATGACATCCAAGTAAGAATGAAGAGAATCTTGTTTTTTACCCCGTTGAGTTTGAAAATTCAAATATTTAATAATTGGAAATGCAGTAGAGTAGAACGGATTATCTCTATAAGAGTCTAGACATGGTACTGCTCATGTCTAGAGTAGTCATCATGGATGAGTGACTATGAATGTCAACATGTATGTGAGAGCTAGAAGGTTCGAATCTAGACATCATTCTCCTCTATACTATGTAGTTTTGGATAAATTGACCATAGACTGATCGATTTCGAGAAGTCTGACAAAAAAATCAACCATAACTTGGTAGAGAAATTCTAATCATATGTAAATTGACAATTTTCTTTCATTCTTAAAATCTTTCCAATTGGCATGAAACAAATGTTCAAATTTTCTAATTAGTAGTGTGCTATGACAAATTTGACATTTTGGATCAATGCGTTCAACATCATTAATTAATTTTTCACACTTATCATGCTGATCACTACGAACGTCATCAAATTTGTATGCTGCATCTGGACATGTACAAGCTATATAATGATCTGTCAGAAAACTTCAAATACATGAATGTATAAAGAATTAGAAAAAAAAAATATGCAAACAAGTTCTGTACCGTTGACAAGTATCACAATATAATTGTTCAACGTTATTAGTGAAGCCATCTATAAATTTTTTTATATAAATCAAAATATTTATCACAAGACGAGTAAGTTTATAGCAGCTATATCTTAAAAACACATTTGTGCAGCTAAAAGCCTTCTTCATCAGGATTAGTAGGCGCGACGGTCTCAACATAATCACTTGAATGAGGACTTACGGAAAATCAAGACAGTCAAAACCAAATTTCTCGTATCTGTTCAAAGGTTTTGAGAGAAATTTTTATTGGATAGAGCAAAATGAGATGTCTCCGACTTCTTCATGAACTTTCTTCGTCGAACTGTCTTTCAGGCTCTCCGTAAATCGAAAACAAGTTGATGAAGGAAGTACATGGAGAAATTGATGACGCCCTATTTTGCTCTATCAAATAAAATGTTTTCTGAAGATCTTAATACAAGCAGTTCTGTTGAAGTCTTTGAACCTACTCTATTTATAGAAAATTGTTTCAGTTACACAAATATTTTATATTTCAACAAGAGATGAATCATTTCTTACATGTTTTCATTCGATTTTGATTCATTGAGTATTGATAGTGTCTTTGATCATTGATTCAAAGCCTTCTCAACTTCTTCTGATGATCGATTAAAATCGATTTCTTCAACGGATATTTCTACAGTAGTCTAAAGTTTTTCATATACTATAAAAGATGAGTCATTCATTTGTCATAAAAATGCATTGTTTTCTTCTTTCAATTATGAGTTCTTATTTTGCATCACACCTGATCACTACACAAAGAAAAAAAAAATACTACGAACAAGAATAGTATTCCAGAAGATTATTCCGAAAAGTAGATTAATCATCGATAAGAAACAAAAAAGGATAATAATATATCAAGTTTTCTGTTTTGAGAAAACAAAGATAATCATTTCTTTATCAGTTTATACATTCATTGTAAAAGTATAGAAATCAAATGAAAGAATTAAAGGTAATTTTCAACGAGCTTAGGTTCTTGAATGGATTGTATAAATGACGACGAATCCTAATGATGAACAGCTTTCGTAAATGTATCCTAAAAAAAAGAGATAAATGAAGTCGAAATTGAAAAAATATTGTTAAATTTTTTTGGCAAATAGATCATATCAATCAAAATAGAGCGAATAAAAATTCAACTTGAAACAGCAATATGTTTTTCGAGTGAGATGATATTCATTCAATGAGTAATAGAAAAGTTTAGAATGGTTTTGCTTTATGGGCTTTCTTTACTTTTCAACAGAAATCTGTAGTCCTACTCAGGTCACATGAAAAATCGACTTTCGAAATCAAATTTTACATGAACATGAAATTAGTTCTTTGGACATGTTGTAACTTTCTAGTTCTTTTTTTCCTATTCTGAGATATTGAATATTCGATATTTTCCATATTAACGAATCTCGTTAAAAACTTTGTTCGCGCAAAGTTTAAAGTCGAACTTCTATTTTCTAGACGATTTGAGTCGGACTACATGTTTATATGCTGAAAGATTCAGTAAAATTTCGATATGTGGAGAACGAAAGTTTGGAATAACAATACTTCGACAGTCAACTTTTCTTATTCTCATTTGATGTTTGTCCTTCGATAGATAGAAAAGTTCCTGATAAGATTTTATTTAAAAATTGATCTTGTCTTTTTAATATGTAAACTAAAAAGTAAGAAAAATGTTGATGATGTCTTGAATAATGTTCGGTGATCCACGTTATGGAAGAATTATATTGAACATCTAATTATATACTGCTTTTGCAGATTGCGACTGTCCAAAATGAGGAAAACAGCTTCGCAATTGCATGTAACTTGAAGCGTTTTTTCTTCGTAGGCAACCATAGATCAGGATCACTAAATTCATATTTTAGAAAACTAAAATTTGCCAAAATCAGAACTTCTACTGTAGAGGCTTACAACAAAGTGATCCCTCCTGCTTTAGATATTTAATAGAGAAAATAGGGAATTTCGAAAATACAGTTTATTAGAATTTCAGGTCATTTTGTTTTGAAAATCTGTATTCATGAGTTATTTCTAATTCAAACTTTCTGTAATATAAGCAGATGTTTGAAACAACTCCAAACTGAAATCAATACAAAACTTGCATGTGGCTCATTTTTTCTTTTATTTTAGCTAAAAGTTATTCAACTCAAAACCTAACTTTATATCATGAAGTTAGTTCTACAAAATCCTTTATCTAATTACATATTCACATAGCAGAAAAAAAGACTGAAATTCTATGGCACAATAAATTTACACAAATTATGAATGACAAAAATACTGATTTTGTTCTGTACAAACATCAATTAATTCAAGTTTAGCTCAGCAATACATAAAGGAATAATTAGTATCAAGGGTTTTGTACTGTATGTTATCTTGATAACTTTAGAGATGATTATAAAATTCTACACAATTGTATGAATTGTTCATCTATTAAATTTTCATTCGGGCTTCAATACAGTTAGTTTTGAATTACTTTAAAAGTGGTTCAGTAGAAGTCGCTTTTACTTTCCTCGTAGCTATGTCCAGTGAATCAAACCATAGTTCTTATTTCATTCGTTTCTCTCAAGATTTAATATATCAATAGAGTCAAAACAAAGAAAAAAGTCAATCAGAATATTCGACCACCATACTATTTGATAAGCTGAACAAAAGAAACTTAAAACATTAATTATTCAAAACGTACTTAATATTAATAGATAGACAAGAAGAAAGAATAAACAATATATTTGCAAATTTGACTTATTTGATAAACGTATTCGTCATTTAGTAAATGTCAATCCAGCTGCGACAAATAGTCTTTCTATTGAAGCACTAGTCTTTATGAGCACACACATTTCCGATTTCTTTCATTAATTCAATGAGTCGGAATTTTCTGAATGTATTAGTTTAATTATGAGAAATTCTCATTGGAAATACTTACTTGTCTTCATAATAAACTTATTTGTTTACTTCAATCGAAACTATTCGATCATTCATCTTCTAATAAATGAATTGGACAATTAATGTTTTTTTTGTTAAATTCCCTCTACTGAAAGGAGGGTCATACACCGAGTTAGGTTTGTCTGTTCGTAACTTCGTTCGTAACTTCGTTCGTTCGTTCGCACAGAACGGAAAAATGTTTTTTTAACCTTCAGAAGAGTTCCTTGTGAAAATATACACAAAAATTGACTTCCAGTCTCACCAGAGGTTTTTCGAGATGGGCTATCAACAAATGGGATTGCGCGTCGAGCAAATCCAGCCAATCAGACATTTTTCCGATATGGGCTCTTAGCCAATACAACTTCGCGGATGCAAAATCGAGCCAATCAGAGGTTTTTCGGTATGGGCTCTTAGCCAATGCGATTTGGCGAAGCCGAAGTCGACCCAATCAGAGGTTTTCCCATATAGGCTCTTAGCCAATGAGATTTCACGAAGCCGAAATCCAAGCAATTACAGGTTTTCTCCTATAGGCTCTTGGCCAATGAGATTTCGCGAAGCTGAAATCAAGCCAAACCGAGGTTTTCACATATGGGCTCTTAGCCAATGAGATCTCGCGGAGACGAAATCGAGCCAATGAGATTTGGCGAAGCCGAAATCGAGCCAATCAGAGGTTTTTCTCTATAGCCTCTTGGCCAATAGGATTTCGCGAAGCCGAAATCAAGCCAATCAGATGTTTTCGCATATGGGCTCTTAGCCAATGAGATTTCGCGGAGACAAAATCGAGCCAATCAGAGGTATCCCCATATGGGCTCTTAGTCATTGAGATTTCGCGAAGCCGAAATAGAACCAAACAGAGGTTTTTGCGATATAGACTCTTAGCCAATGGGATTTCGCGAAGCGAAAATCGAGACATCAGAGGTTTTGCGGTATGAGCGCTCGGGCAAGGGGATACTGCACTATGGAAGTCCAGCTAATCAAGGATTTTCAGATGTGGGCGCTTAGGCAGTGGGATGTTGCGAAGCTGAGGACTAGCTAATGAGGGGTTTTTCGATGTGAAATAGTAGTCAATAAGATTTTGCGCAAGGAAAGCTGAGCCAATCACGTGTTTGTGGTTATGGCTCATCGGCGTATGAGATTTTGCGCAACTGAAGCTCAGCCAATGAAGGCTTTTTCGATATAGGCCAACAGTCGATGTGATTTTTCAGCGCCAAAATTGGTCCAATGCGAGTACTTCCGAGATGGGGTCGTAGCCAATGGGATTTCGCGCAACCGAAATTGAGCCCATCACGGCCTTTTCCATATAAGCCATCAATGAAATATATTGCGAGGCGACCAAATTGGCGGAATCTGGCATTTTTCGAA